CCTTCCTTCCTTCCTTCCTTCCTTCCTTCCTTCCTTCCTTCCTTCCTAATGTATCTGTCCTCTTCTTGTTGCATCAAGTGGATTTGAAAATGATTTGTGCCCTTTGTTTTGTGTTTAACACGTCTCTGTGACGGTAAAGGTCTCTATTTTAGGTAGTTTTTCACTGTTTCAATCCTGTGGACTTGTGAATCCCTCCCAGCCGGCTCGCGTCCTCGGCTGGTTGTTGTCGCGGTCCAGCGGGGATGTGAGACTTGATACTCAGGAGCTCTGTGCGTCTGGGTCACACCCCTTCCTCTACACTTCCCAAACGTAAACAATTCTGGAAGCATATGTGCTCTGTTTGGGTGAGTTTACGCCACAGCCTGTCCCAGGTGATGCGGGCAGGAGCATGCGTTCGTGCTTTCTGTACTTGCGGAATAGAGTGCCTTGGCCAGGCTAGGGGTTTGCATTGTTCCTCTGCTGGACCCATGCTACATTCACCTTTAGAGACTTCTCTTCGGGTTGTGGTATGAAAAGGCCCTTTCAGGCTTCTCAGAAAGTAATCTCCCTGTATCTGCGAGGGTGTAGGAAAGAATAACATTAACATAAAGGCTGACACCTTTGATCTTTCAGTTATATGTATGGTCTTATTTCAGCTCACTGTTTGAAATGGCCACCATCTCTATCTTGAAAATAGTAATTGTTTATAGGTTTTAGAGCATTAGAGTAACTTTGAAGTAAAAATATAATAATTTTTCCTTGACATTTCAATATTATGATTGACATACTTTCAATTCCAATTTTGAAAAGAAAATGTTGAACATGGTTTAGGATGTTACAGTACAACTGCTAATACTGCTGTGTGTTCTCTTATAAGGCAGCTGGGGAGAGGGGTGTAAGTCTGGGTTAGCATGTGCTAAGTACATGTCAAGAATATTGCTTGTCACTTTGAACCTGACTATTAAGAGAGTATGTTATAGTCAGAAGACATATGGGTGGCACCTTGCTTCCCAAAGCAGACTTCAACTCCATGACCTATGAAAATAAAAAGATAAATTCTTTTTAATTGGAAGTATCTAAGTCTCGGACTGCTGCTCCCCCTTTGCGAGGGGTGGGTGGGGGGTTCCAAACAGGACTTCTCTGTATCAGTAGCTGTCCTATAACTCACTCGGCAGACTAGACTGGCTTTGAACTCAGATCTGCCTATCTCTGCTTTCTGAGTACTGGGATTAAAGGCATGCGCCTCCACTGTCTGACTACTTTCCCCCTTTGTATTATAACCTGAAACCTACTTGTAGCCACCACATAGGACAGCGTGAGCTCACTGAGCTCTGACTTGGTTGCCTCCAGACCTTGCCACATTCAGATGGTCAATGCCTTATATCTTTTGACCGGTGAAGGACTGGGAACAGCCCCAGAGAAGAAAGTCAAACCTGTGGACAGCAACTTTTGAGTTTGGGTCTCTCGGTAAGCCAGGAACGGATAGAGAAATCATATTGGTTGTTAGGATGCCTGTGTTCAGAGTGGCCTTATCTTGACCCACTTCTGGTCAAGCCTCTGTCTGTGACGTCAGACCAGAATTTTCTTTGTCCTGTGTCATTTGGAGGCAGCATGCCCTATCTTGAACATCCTGTGGGTGAGTAATCTTATTATAGTTAGCTGCCCTACTCCAGCCTTTCGGAGAGAATGCTGACTAGCGGGCTGCACCAAAGCACTTGGATGTGCATTTAAGGTGACATTCCTAATAGTAGACTAGTATTAAATTAATCACTGTGAAACGAATGTGTGACGCTCTAGGACTTTTTAAAAGCTAGCATGCATTTCTGCTTGTCTTTTATTGTGTAACCCATGCAGTTTGTATGTTTTGGGGTTTTGTTTTAGTCATCTTCAACAGTAGTACAAATGACTGGCATCACAGCCGGCGGTGGCTTCAGGGCACACGGTGAATCCGCGGTGAGTCAGAGTGGTCTATCCAGGGAAAGGGGTGATGTGTTTGTTTCTTTCTCGCATAGAGCCATGGGAATTGTGTTTGCTGGCTGCTTCATTTCCCGAGTTTCTACCGTATGAACTAAATGTAACTTACTCTCCAACCTGCATGTTCATAGTGTGCTTTGCTCTTTAATAAACAGACGCTCAAGAGATAGTACACCAGCTGGTTATTGTCTCTGTCTTTTAAGTAGGAATATGTTCTTTTTTGTAGACATTTGACAGACTCATGCTTAGAGTAGCAGGAGGAGCTCTGCCGTTTCGCGCTCTCCCACAGGCAGCCTGAACAGGATTTGTTCATTCAGTGGAGAAGGTTGGATTCCCAGGATTGATAACACCACACAGACTGACTTTAGAGTATTTGAGAAGGGGAAAAGGGCCGTCTCCCTAGGAACATACCTTTGGGCAGCACAGAAAAGTTGTTCTGGGCTTTTAGGCTGTTTCTGTTGTCTTTCCTCTCAGAGAGCCCTTCTTAGAAAGCTGGACTAAGTTGGGCTGTTTTTATGGCAGTTGGATCGTGGCCATTGAATATCTAAAATAGAAAGAGAAGCCAGTGCCCACGTCAGCAGCTCTAAAACTGAAATCAGAGATCACATCGGCTGTCCAGGGAGTGACTGAATACTGGGGGTGTTTTCTGTCACATTGGCTATAGGATCTTTTAAGCAGTTTCTTTGGGTAACAATCAAAATAAGCGTTGATTTGTGTTTTTCATAAACAAAATAATCCTTGATGAATTCTCCATTTTAATATTCTTGGTGAGGACTATTAATATCTAGAGAAAAAGATTCATGACCTGGAGCTTGTTTATTCTGTACTGAAGGTTAAGCAGGCTATAGAAGTTGCCTGTTTTAACTTGGCCACTGTATCACTGACCTCTTGGAATTACTGTTATTCATCAACAGGCTAATGATTAGTTCACTTCAAAATGTCTCAAGAATGCAGGATTTAGTTTTGAATTCTGAATTCTAGTTTTAACTTATTTTTCTTCTCTCTGGGTAGCGTGGAAGACAGTGATGGCCAAGTCTAAGGGAGGACATCTGCTCTTCCCTTCCCCCGTCAGTGGAGTAAATGGATGGCAGGTGAAGGAGAATAAACTGCTGCTTTCCTGAGTAAGGTTTCATGTTCTGTGCTAAGAATATGTGGCGGCAGTTGTGGCTGCGGAGTTTAATTTGGTGCCATTGCCAGTAGATTTTCTCAAGTCTTCTGAAGCAAGAGTAAATTTCCGTCCCTTCCAGGCGCCTAGAAACTGGAGCGGGTGGGGGTGTGTGCGCCACAAAGAAGGAAAATGATACCAGAGAGAAAAATGAAAAGGACATGAAATCTTTCTCCTTTCAAGTACTTTTAGTTGTAGCTGGTCTGCATAGGACTTGTGGTGTTAATAGTAAACTAACGTAGCATTTACTTAATCTGATTCCATGTGCTCTCTCTATATTCACATTTAATGTGTACACCTATTCTCTGTATATATACACATTTAATGTGTACACCTATTCTCTGTATATATACACGTTTAATGCGTACACCTGTTCTCTGTGTGTATATATACACGTTTAGTATGTACACTTATTCTCCGTGTGTATATATGATATGGTATCTACATGGAGTTTACTCTTTGGTGGTAACCCTCATTAGACTGTTGCTTTGTGTGGACTTGGTCCACACCTAAAGCCACTTCCCACCTGGAGCCATAGCCCTCCCTGCCCCGGGTCATCTCAGGCCTTGAGGAAACCCCCTAAGTACACCACTTTCCCCTTCCTTTCCTCCGGGGAATTAGGAACCAGAAAGACTGGTTTAAGAATGCTGGCTGCTATCTTTGGGGTCGAGGTTTCTGGGTCTGCTGGGCCCTTTTTGGCTAGGAGGCAGCTTTGGGAGCAGTGTACCTGTGGATCTCATCGGGGAGATGCTTGCTCTTTGCCAAGACAGAGCTCTACGGCTTGCTTAAGTTTACTGGAATATTCCAAGTCTTGTGATTCAATGTATAGTAAAATACTCTGAGGTGTTTGGATGTGATTTTTGCATTTTCTGTGTCACTGTTCCCTGCTGCTAGTCCAGATAATCAAGACCTGTTTCTTGTCACGGAATCTAGAGGCCTTGACCTTCACTGGATTTATGTTCAAGTCTGCTGCTGTGAACTCCAAAAGTTAAGCAGTGGGTTTTAGTTTTAAATTGTTTAATTCTTTTATTGACAAATATTTATTGTAATAAAAATAAATAATTTTTAAATCCTTTTAATTGTTTTCAAGTTGTCTTTTTTTTTTTTTTTTTGTCCTTCCTTGGTACATGCAAAGGGGAAAGCTCTGTAATGGGAAACAGTCCCAGCTGCTCGACTCAGAACCATTAGTCAGTGTAAAACACAATAGTAAAGGTTTATACACGCGTGCACACACACACACGGAAAGCATCACCCAATTTTACTTAAAATATTCAAGAAATTCATAACGTGAATATCTCTGGGACCCGGACTCATTGCTCAAGGACAATAAGTGGACATCTTGCAATTCCATCATGGTACAGAGGACCATTGTATCTGCACATGGGTCCCGTGCCTAACCTGGGTGGGCAGCTGGCTAACAGAATCTGAACCCCCATACACACACACACACACACACACACACACATATACATATGTCATATATTCATATATCAGATAAGTGAGTCTTTCTTGGCCTTCATTGGCCCCCAAACTTGATATGTTGTCAAGGATGTTCCCAAGATGACCTTGAACTTCTGACCTTGTTCCCTTTGCCATTACTGGGAT